AAAAAAAAGATGGATAAAAAGCTGCAAAACTACGCCTTATTGAAGAGGCTTTTTGATAATTTCAAAGAATTTGGTTGGGGCTTTTGCGCAGTTCTGTAAGTATAACTTTTCGAGACTGCAACATTTTCAAGAAAACTGAGGTTTTTAGCTGAGATGTAATCAAAAACGTAAACTAAACATAAAACTGTGCAATGTCTTCTTTTTTTTTTTTGACTTGTTCGTCATTGTCTTTACCACAACTAAGATTTGTTGCTTTGATTTGACAGACAATTTCCAAACTGACACAATGCCAGTTCTCAATTACTGCTACTTTCACAAAAAGAGAAGAAGCTTTTAGGCTGTCAAAAATGTTATTATAGTATAAACTGTGGTTATCATTTGCTCAATTCCGACTTTCAAAAGTTTGCTATATAATAAACATAGTCTGTCATCTTAGTGTATGCAACACTTTCTATCAGTTTTGAACAAGACAGAGATTCAGGTGCAGTTTCGAAGTCACCTTTATTGATTAAGTTTCGCAGTTCGCGTTAACAGATACCGCTGTTAATTCAGTCACTTTACAATCCATGATGCTCTTCTTAATTTTCAAGAAAGCAATAACACAGTTGCTATCACTTAGTTCATTGTTTCAACTATCGTTCACTGTTAATAATACAGTAGTTTTGTGTCTATTTTTCCTTCCTTTCTTTTTTGTTAATAATTTATTTAACTGAATATCGACAGGGCACAATAACCTTTAACGGCCGCAGCAGTTGAATAGATAAAGATAAGCCATAAAAGTCAGTGCTTAAAGTACAGTTAAGGAACGTTGCTTGAGCAATAAACTCTTGTAGTAGCAATTTATAGCGACAGTTTTTTTATGATTTTTTTTTTTTTTTTGGTTGAATAATAAACATTTTAAATTTTTTGTTTTTTAAGGTTAGTTGCAATTATTAGCTACAAAATTAATGAAGAATTTTATTGCCATTTTGAAAATAATTAACAAAATTTGCAGGTCTTTCTGCAAGCTTTTCTCATCAGCGGCTGGTAAGATGGTACTGTACAATAATTTATATTGTCTTCACAGTTCTTACCGTCATCTTTGCAGGATTCTAAAAGTAGAGTTCAGTTACCGTTTGCAGTTTCTCAGTACCATATATGGTTCCACTATCCCTACCAAACTCAATTGTTTCTTTTTTTTGTTTTTTTGCTTTTGAAAACAACTATTGATTTAGTAAGCACTGAAAATTCTTATTCTTTCTACTCAACTTCTTTTAAAGTATTCATTTGAGTGTTCACTTATTACTTTAAATGCTTTCTTGAATTTTTATCTTTTTAGATAAATGCTGGTAACGTTATTGAAAAAAAAAAATGAAAAAAGTTATGAAGACTTACCATCAGTATTGGTGCCACAGTATCCGCAAGTTTTTTTGCACTTTTCTTTCATGACCTTCAGGTATTTAGGGTCGGTACAGATATGAGCATTGTTATCGCAATTTATAGCAATATTTGCACAATCTGTAAAATAAAATCAACTATTGAAAAAGAGCAAATTAATTAATTTTTATATAATTTTGACGAGTAAATTTGCTGTGCTAGTTAATCAACGCTTACTCAAAGCAATTTAATATAAAATAAAACTGATAAATAAACTGACAGCTACAAATATAAACATTTCAGAGGGGGAAAAAAATAATAGTATCTAACGCAGAAACTTTCATTCGGTAGAATAACTAATCCATTTTTTTATTTATTTCAGAGCACTTTTGTCTCTTTCAAATTTTAAACTTGTCATTAGACGAGACTTGGTTCATATGTTAAATGTGAGACTTTCGCTTATTTTGTTCTATATTACAAATTACCAGTGTTCACTCTCTTACCTGTAGTGTTGGGCAACGAACAGTGGCATCTTAAGTTGCACGACGACTTTGCTTCAGTTCTACTGATGCACTTCCTACGAGAGCAAAGTTCTGTTCCTTTACAAACACCAGAATCAAAAGCGCAGGTACATTTACTTTGGCCGTTAGATTGGCAAAACTCTCCAGCTTCAGAAAAACATAGACTTTGTTCACAAATCCTAACGCATGTCCCCTTAAAACACACTTCATCAAATTCGCAGTTCAGAGGTATGCCATCAGGCGACATGCAAACACATATGTTTTCGTCTTTATCGCATACAGTGTTTTCATATATATCCGAGCATTCTTTATCGCTTTTGCAAGCTGAAAAAGAATGAAAAAGAAAAAATTTTCAAACTTAGAATGAAAAAAGAGTTGCAAGGATAAAGTTTCACACAATTTTAGAGAACACTTCAGAAGTTTATTATCAGAAAATCAATACCACTTGTTCAATAGCTGATTCCAAATTATCTCATTTTTTTTTTCTTTAAATTACTCATAAACCTGTTATTTTTTATGCTAAAAGTTAATTATTTCTATTACCGCCTCTTTTCTCGTTGAAGAAATGAAAAGAAAACAAAAACTGCATGCACTTACAGATAATATCCATAGCTTCCGTCTGAAAAGCGAACGGTGTAATGAGTAGCAGAAGAGCGCTACAAATCATGATTTTGTTGCTGCTTGTGGAATTGGCAACACAGTCTTTTTAACTGATACTGACTTTAAACACTAAATATTGTGCCATCTTAAGGTATCTGCTAGGTGAATTAAATTAAGAATACTTTTTAGCCAGAAAGAATCAGCCGACCAAACGTTTGAATTAATTTTTTTTTTTTTTTCGTAATTTCTATTTGATACTCTAAGTTCCTTTGAAACATTTTCTTTAGTTGCCTTTGTCTTTTTAAGCTTAAAAATTGTCAACGTTAACGTGGAGGTTGTTGTTGTTGTTGTTGTTGTTGCCATTATGGTTTTTAAATTAATGAGTTAAAAAAACGCAAGCATTTTTTTTTTTTTCAAATTCAAAAAG